ATTTATGGCTTTCATCAAGAGGTAGAACATCATAGACTGTTTTTTTGGAAGATTTATATGCTGTTTTTTTTTTATGTTTTGTAGCCTGTTTTTGGGATGTTTCATAGAACATCATGGACTATTTTTTGTGTTTTTTTGTAGCCTATTTTTGGTGGTCTTTTTTACAGGCTATTTTTTGGGCTGATTTGATATGTAATTATTCACTAAACATATGGTGCTTATGGGCTGATTTGAAATACTAGTTTTTGTTTGATATATCATAAAGTAAGGTACAATATTTTATTGCAGAAATAATAGTACAATTATTTTACATATCATGTATAATGCTAGGATTGCTAGGTTTAGCACTACCAAACTACGAACTAATCCATCTTCAATCTTGGCATTCTTCTTCGATTGAACTTGATTTGTCGATGCACTTGTCACCTCACTGTCATCATGCTTTGGAGTAGCTATTGTATCACCATGTGAGCAACTATAACCAACTTCAAATGGCTCACACCAATGTGAGAAGCCGTGTTCGGGGCAACAATAAAAGAGCCTTCCCGGATTTTTTCTCGTCTCCGATATCATAATTGCTGTTTTCTTTCCACAACTCTTGCATTTCTCTTTTTTGTATTTTAACCCACTGATTTGAGAGGATGTGCTAGAAGAATCCATGGAAGCAATAGAGAGAAGTGGAGAGAGAGGTGAAAGAGAAGAGAAAATTCCACCTTATTTATAGGGATGCAAAAAACGGTCATATTCCAACAAATAACTCAAAACTTACAATTAACCCCCTTAGATAGTAATAGGTAAAATGCAACGGTTATATTTCAGTAAGTACAAACTATGCAACAATATGACCCCTCATTAAATAAAATGCTTACAATTACCCCCCTAAGGGTAATTTCGTCTGTAAATAGAACTATCAGAACGTTCCACGTGTACAAGGGCAAAATTGGTATTATCGGAGGAATATTCGGGAGAATCAAAAAGATTCTATCGAGTTTAACACCGTTAGAGCGATTTGTAAGATGTCTGCATACCTCAGGGGGGTTTTCGTAATTACGAGAACGTGGGGGGAATTTCCATTATTCAGACTTACCTCAGGGGGGTTTTGGTAATTTGCCCTTTTAGTTTTAGTAGTTTACCTTGCAGTTCTTGGATTTAATTTATTAATCCATGTCAGATGTTCAGTACCCATTTGTTAAGATATAGAAATTATATTTTTCAAAATAAATGATATACAACCATCATGATGATATGATATTACATTAAGATAAAATTATACAGAAGTAAACTGGTATTCTAATACATTAAACCAAAATGAGACATAATACTAAATGTGCTAATACATTCAGTACAAAATTCCAAATATCATATCCAGGTTAGGACAATCTTGACATAACATCCATCTTTAGTTTCTTGAAATATTCTGCACTCATTTCATCCATGCCAGTAGTGTCAATCATCATATTTTTATGTCCGTATCTTTCTTCAAGTCGGTTCGTTTTTCCCTCTCCAATTGTAGGTATTCTTGTTGGAATACGAACACTTGGTCAAACCTCTCTTTCTTTTGATGTTCCGCCTGAGCATAATCCTTTGAACATTCCTCAAAAAACGAGGCGGCAACAGAACTTTGAGTTCCTTGAACATGCTCTTTTCCTTTTTTCGCTTTTGCAACTTTTGTACCCATTGGTCTCTCGAACTCGTTAAAATCTAGATCGTCCAATCAAATGTTCACACCGCTATCTTTAGTTGCAGGCGACGAAGACTATGGACTTGCTCCGACAAACTTTTTGGACGACTTATTGGAACGTCGACTTGTTGTAGCAATATTCCACTTTGGGTGATTTTTCAGTTCGTTCCAACAATGATCCGTCCGAAATTGTTTATTTGTGGTTTCGTGAAACATTTGTTTGGCGCGGAGTATCTAAAAACATAATACCAGGTTAATTATTATGACAAAATTTTTAAAAAATAGTATAAGATAGAAATATACCTTGTCTTGCTCTGTTGTGCCACTTTTTTGCAATTCTTGAACCTGTTTATAACAAGAAGAAAATTTTGAACAATCTTTGTTGATTACAGCCCATCGGCTCGTTAGAGAATGTTGTGAACGCTGAGAGTCGTCACTATATGTTTCAAAATACTTGGTCACTTTTGCCCAAAAAGTATCCGATTTTTGTTTGTTTCCATGTATTGGATTTGTTGATGTGTTGAGGTATGCGGATATAAGGAGGATGTCCTCATCGTTTGACAAGTTTTTTGTCGTTTCGAAGAATTATTTGTTTTTTTCGTTTCCACCGGATAACTACCATACAAAGATTCCTGCTCAAATTATTCATTCTCTTTGAGCATATCTGTAAAATATCCACTGGAATCCATGTGCATATGAAATATAAATATTTTCATCACTATTTATTTAGTTAAAACATTGTTTGGAATTAAAATATATTGAAAAGGAAAATAAATCATTATATATAGGTATACTAAAAAAACTAAACACTCATTATTTTATTAATTACAATTATACATGGAAACATATTATGTGGAAAATAAAAACTGTAATTTTTTTTCTAAAATAACACCGATGGACCAAAAAATTAGCCAATAACTCTCCTCTTTTTATAAAAAACAAATACGCACTAAATACATTACTTAAATTAATATATTGTTTCTACTTTCTAGGGCTTTCTCTATATCTCATTATTTCTCTCATTAAGTCCCGAGAGAACAATAGAGAAATTTAATTAAAAATATACAAACTTTTGGAAATATAGAGTAAAGTAATTTGGGACACTTGTCCTTCAAAAGAAATTTAAAAAAAATTAAACAAATTCGACACATACATATCGAAATTTCTCAAAATTTTGACAAGTATGTGTCGAAAAAACTTTGGCTTTTTTTTTTTTTTTTTTTTTTTTTTTTTTTTTTGCAACAGCAGCAGCAGTGATTTTTCAAAATTTCGACAGATATGTGTCGAATTTGTTTTTTTTTAAATAAAATTTTCGACAAATTGGTGTCGAAAATTGACCAAAACTTCGACCTATATGTGTCGAAAATTAACCAAAACTTCGACCAATATGTGTCGAAAATTGACCAAATATTCAACCTGTATTGTGTCGAAAATTGTAGGCAGATTTCAAAAAAAAAAAAACTAAAAAATCGACTTTGAAGCTCAAAAAAGACATGAATACATACTTTAATGTGTTCTCCTTCCATGTAAACTACCATTTTATTGTCTTGTGACTCCATTTTTTGTGAGGTTTGTGAGGTTTTGATTTTTTTGAATTTTGAGATTTTTTGGAGGGTTTGTAAGAAGATGAAAAAGAAGAGAGGGTTTGGGTTTTGGGAGAAGAATAAAGTATTTTAATTTTTAATTTTTGGCATTGAAATGAGGAACACAAATATTTTTTTGTATAAATTGTATTTTATTTGATGAGGGATATTTTAGTAATTTACTATTAAAAAAAATATTCGTGGTATTAATCTAAGAAAAAAATGTAAAAACTTTTAGAAAATATGGTATTAAACTTGGTGGTACTGAAGTTGGAAAAAAATGGTATTGGTTTTAGCCGCACCCTTACTTTTAAGTCTTTAACAAAAAGGATGGATTCCATATTATTTACTTCAAAAGATAGTTGGAGACTCATGGTTATTAAAATTGCACGATTTAGGAATTACAATTTAATAACCATGATCGAAGTTACATTGATTGGGGGTGCATCGATCAAAGTTACAAAAATGATTTCGACACAACGATTCAAAACGACAAGATGGGGAGACATGGTCATAAACCAAAGCTTTATCCCGATTAGAAATTATTAAGCATTTGCATTTGCATTTTGGTGTGATGATTCTTTCCTGTTAAGACAAGATTAAAAAAAAAATATCAGTTTCCATGGTGTGTTGAAATAAATAGACATTTGAGTAGCAATGAATGGAGCCGTCCCTTCAACTACCTCAGACAAATGACAGTGATTCTCGGCATTCTCTACACTTATGGGGTCAAAGACGCTTTTGTTGCGCAATCGATATTTGAGCAGCATCACACTCAATCAATTAGATAATATTCATTTTCCTACAATTTTGCTCCAACCAAAAAAAATTATTGGATTAACCATGGCTGCGGTTTGGGTGGTTTGGCGAGGTCGGTGATAGAAGCTGCCTAGGTTGGTCCTCTACTTGGAGCTCATCTCTCTTCGACTCTACTTCAGCCGAGGCAATGTCTGCTCTTAAAGCCTTAGAATTTGCTCGTGGTCCCCAATGGAATAGAGTAGTTTTGGAAGGCGATTGCAGCACAATTATTGCAGCTATTAATGGAGAGCAGGATTCTCGAACAATCTATGGTAATATTATCGATGATATTAAGAGATTGACGCTAGGTTTCGAAGCTATCAAAGTTTGTCATGTCATGAGGGAAAGCAATCGAGCAGCTCACGAAATTACTAGGTTGTCTTCAATGGAGTCCTTTTACTACTTCGAATGTTTTGCCGAGCTTTATTCAAGATATTGTAAGCTCTGAATCATTACATTAATAAAATCTGCAAGTTTTTTTTCTAAAAAAAAAAAACCAAACATTCACTAAGTTCCAATTATTTAATTAATCATGACTAAAGTAACAAAGAGCATAATTGATAACTACATAATAGCAATTGGAATATACTAAAAACAAAACAGTAAACATTGAATAACCCTAAACATAAATATTTGCAGCATTTGAATTTAAATTTGGATAAATATACATTTCTCTCACCTAGTCATCTCCCAAGAAGAGAAGCAAGAAGATTTCATAGTAAAACCATTTCCCAAAAAACACAAATTAGAAAATATATATATATATATATATATATATATATATATATATATATATATATATATATATATATATATATATATATATATATATATATATATATATATATATATATATATATATATATATATATATATATATATATATATATATATATATATATATATATATATATATATATATATATATATATAATTAACGCTAACTAGCAAAGCTATATATTAAAATCACTCCAACAATCCTGCAGAGAAAGGTATACTAGTAAAAGGCAACCAAGCATCTCCCATGGTGAAATTATACACAGTGAAGTTCAAAGCTTGAGAAGCATTCATCACATTGTAACCATGCCACGTCACCCTCATACTCGTCCCAGCACCCGGACCGTAATTCCCATACTCCCCGTAATAAAGCGTATCTATTCCGTAAGTCCCGTTCCACTCCAACCATCCGATCGGGTCGATCAAATCCCCTATGTACGATTGCATGTACACCGTTCTCGAGTACTCTTTCCAAGGCCTACCGAGATAATTATAACTAATAGAATAATTCGAATTATAATAATCCGGTGACGTACTACTAGCTCGAAGGATACTGCAGTTGTGGATGGATATCCCGGTGTTTTGATTCGGATCGGTTCGGCCTTGTGCAGTGAATGCGATTTTTTGATTGGGCATCGGGTTTCGGGCGAAGAGGTTGCAGTTTTGGAACACGGCGGCCGCGTTGCCGAATATGAAGTCGACCGTGCCGTACACGTTGCAGTCTCGGTAGAATTGTCGGAGGGAGTGCACGTAGAGCGTGTCTTGGTAGCCCTCGAAGGAGCAGCGGTAGAATGTGGAGAGGTCTGCGGTGTTCCTCACGGCCACTGCTTGGTGCTTCTGTGGGCCCGCCGTGTTTTGGAATGTTATGTCGATCGCGACGAAGCGTTCGCCGTAGACGGCTGTTGTTAGAGAGAGAAGGATGAGATCAATTAAAAAAGATTCAAGTGGATAATTTTTTTGTAGATCTTTCGAAATTATACTTTGGTGAAATAAATGTTATTTCTATGTTACACCTGGTGATTTTTTTTACTGTTGATCTACACACACCAATGTGGGTGTGTGTGTGTTTGTGTGTATATGAATGGTAAAGATCTACCCGGTGTATTTCACCCAATGTAGCATAGTATAAACAGTGAAATAAAATCAACATACCGAAAGTAGCGGAGTTGAAGGTAGTCCAGCCATCGATAACGTTACGGTTTCCCGTAATGACAGTAGCGTTGATCCCATCTCCAATTAACATAATATTTTTCTTGTTTTTGGGCACGACAATGTACTCTTGGTAGTAACCTTGTCTCGCGTAAATGACGAAGTAGCCATCATCAACTACCGAGTTATTAGGCGCGAATGCAACCGCTTCGTTTATCGATGAAAAGTTGGCCCCACCGTAAGGGCTAACTGTGACGGTGTTGTTAATACGAATTCCACTTTCCGTTAATACTTGTCCTAGAAGTCGATGTGTTGCCTTCTTAGATCCTAATTTTGGCACTAGCAAAACCTGTTTCCAAACATATAACAATGTGTTAACCCTCTCTTTTTAATGAATATAATTATACGTGTTGAAATTTGGTAAGCAACTCAAATAATTTCCATACTAGACTCGAAATCCGTCAGAAAAAAAAAAAAAGAAAAAGAAAAAAGAAACAAATTCTATTCGTTAACGAATCAAGTTTGAACACATATTTTTAGGTATGAAGCTAATCAAGCTAGATTAGAATAAAAAAAATGATGAGATGGCAAAGAAAATCGAGCTTGTCGAGCTCTCCATCTGTGTTGGGTTCGATTAAAGTTTGGTTATCGAGTAAATTGCTAATCAAATTAAGTTCAAACATGACTTGGGAATTTGATAAAATTTTAATTAAACTTGAAACAATTAAGCGTTCAATTCGACTCCATTCATTTACACCTATATAAATATAAGCACTAATGAAGAAACTGGTCCACGTGATTTCTTTTAGGTCTTGCCAAACTCCATTATTTTCCCAACTTGTGTGCATCTATTATATGTAGTGTTAAATTATAGAGCAAGTAGCCTTATTATTATTATCACTATTTAACTCTTGTGTCATTTGAATTTACTATTTATATTTGTATTATAGGGAAGTTAGATGTTACACCTGGTTATTTACAGAGTGGATTTGGATTTAAATTGTAAATTTGATTAAATAACTATATATTAAGCACACATACACATGAATGTTTGTAATTATATGTAGATTTACTGTTCAATGCCGGCCCTTATAAATAACAAGTGTAGCATCTAATTTTCCATAATGGTTCATACAATTTAACTATTGAAGGAAATTCGTATTATATTATTTAAGGATAAAACTAAAATTAGGCGATAAAACATAAATTTAAAATAGTTATACACTTCTATCATAAAAAAATACGAGCGGCTATAACAAATACCGTTTATTATATTTCTCACTTCAATACCACCAACATAAAAAATAAAAAAAATAAATAGATAATAAGTAGGTAATAACATTATTACCCTTCATGAAAATCAATACTATACACAATGATTGTGGTATTAATTTTATTAAGGGTATTACTGTCGTTACGTGTTTATTTTCTACTTTTTTTGTGTTTGTGGTATCGAAGTGAGAAATAAACTATATTTGTTTTAGCCGTCCCAAAAAAAATTAGTGATTGTCTTTGGCTCTCGTGAGTCGTGAGATCCAATCCAACGACCCAGAATATTAATAAATAAATGAATAATATATAAATAAAGAATGCCGAAAATATATTATTATTTTCAGACAAAAAATAACAATTTTCATTTTCATTTTAAGAAAAAATAATAATTTAATAACACAATAAAAAAGATGCTTTGAATAATTACCTGGGAAGGCACATAAGTTGGATGCCGTGCCCAATCAAACTCCATCACCCCCCTCCGCCCCGACACACCGCCGCCGCCGCCCCACCTCCTCCTCCCTCCTCCGCGTCCCAATGCATGCGCCACCAACCCAAGCGCAACACTGTACATCGCCGCCGCATCTCCAAGCGGCGCAGCCAGCGCGTCCGCCATCCCGCTGCCAGCATCCGCCAGGCCGTCGTAGCACGTCTGGTGGTTCGTCACGACGGCGCTCAGCAAGCTCCGAACTCCGTCGACCAGCACGTCGCTCATATTTCCCGGCGGAGATTTGAGGTCGCCGGAGATGAGGCCCAAGTAGTCGACGTTGAGCTGCTGGAGGTGGCGGCAGTCGTCGAGCGCGGCGATCTCCGCGTAGCCCATCAGGGACTTCTCCTTCGTGTTGGTGGAGAGGAAACGGGAGATGGTGTCGGACAACCTGCGGGCGTGTTTCATGCACTGTTTCACGGAGAACTTTCCGTAGTTGTCCGGATTTGATGGGGACTGCCGGAATGCGGACAGTATGGAGAGGCATAGCTTCGGGTACAGGGTCGTTTTGCACGCGGTGGACGGCGGCTGCGGCGGAGGCTCGGCGGCGGACGGCGGAGATAAAGAGAGGGTGAGGAGGAAGAAAAGGAGAAGACTGCAGTTCAATAGGTTAGCCATTTTATAATGTGTTTTGTGTCTGTAGTCTGTAGTACTCTGCAGATACAGTTCACTGGTTGTCGGCTCCTCTCCCCAAATTTGTAGTTTATTTATGGGTAAATTATATTCCACTTTCCGCCCTTTTACTTTGGCTCGATATCACTTTACCCCCTTTTACTTTTAATTTCATTGGTTTGCCCCACCTGTAATTTTTTCCTCAATGTGGCCATTGCTGTTTGTTTTCAAACCTTTGACCTTAACACCATTTGATCTAAGTTTGAAAATTACAAAAAAACCACCCCTCCTAGTTTAAATAATTATTAAAAAATTTAAAAATAAATTGTGACTGGCGTCGTGGACTATGTTTTCTCGTGTCTTGATATTATTATTATTTTACTTTTTGTTTTTAAATTTTTTTAATTGTTTTTTTTAATAATTATTTAAACTGAGGGATGTGGAATTTTTGTGATTTCAGATCTTAGATCAAACAGTATTAAAGTCAAATGTCTGCCAACTAGCAGCGAGGGCTACGTTGAGACAATTTTTCAAGTACATGGGGGCCAAATCGATGCAATCGAGAGTAGAAGGGGGGTAAAGTGATAACGAACCAAAGTACAAGGGAGGAAAGTGGAATTCACCCTTTATTTATTGTAGGATTAATTAATTACAACCGCCTCTTGAGGTAAGATGTATTTATGAAAAGAACCCCTCGTGTTTTCGTAATTACATTTGTAATTATTAGATTTCTTATATCAACTTCTATTTATGAAAAAAGCCCTCGTGTTTCCATAATTATCTGTATCGTTTGTAATTTGTAAATTTCTTCCATTAATACTCTTTTGTAGTGGGTGGATGTAAGAATTTACAAACTACAGAGTGTTGGACGACGTCATTTCTTATAAATGAGAGGGTTTTTTCGATAATTAAACTTTACCTTAATGTGGTGATTGCAATTTACCATTTATAGTAAGATGCATACACCATCCTCTAAAATTTTTAATTCTTTTTACATGAAAAAAATAAATTATATTTTATCTCGGAATCGTAGAAAAATTCAATCTGTAGTTATTTGTGGGTATGCCATCCGTCCAAAATTCGATATTGAAATGAAACTATTTATAAAGTTTGAAAATGACGTTTGTATAACAAAATATACTGATGATACTAGAGATAGATCACCTTAAATAGTTGAAGTTAGGGTTGTTCATGGGTTGATTTTACCCGACAACCGACCCATTATTGGCCCGAATATTGTGGCCGATAATTACCCAACAACCGACTCGTTTTGGTCGGGCCGATAGTTTTAATCGACCCATGTTTAGTTGGGTCGGGTATAGTTTTTAATTTACTGAAAAGTCGATTGGCCGATATTACACGACCAACCGACTATATATATATTTCTTATTATTTCTTTTAATTTTGTTTAGTTTTTAAAGTTTTTGAGTTTTGACTTTCACTTCACTAAATTATTGAATTTTTTTAAAATTCTAATCTAGAATTATCCATCTCCTATTTAACTCTAACTCTACTCCCCGAAGCAAAAACCAAAACTCCACATAAACACCACCGTCGACATTTCTCTTGCAAGCCACAAACAGTCATCACCGTCGGCGCCGGTGCGCTGCTACTTGCTCCAACTCTGCACATCTGGCCCTCTCTAGTTCTATCTATCTTCTACATTTTACACTCTAAAGAGCAAAACCTCAAGGCTAGGGTTTTTTTTTTTTTTCCTTTTTTTCTCAAATTACAATTTGGCAATTCGTCATTGGAATGATTTAATTTTTTTTAAAATACGAATGATTATTGCTTCTATTTTATGTTTTTCCATACTATTTTTTTTAGAAGAAAATATAGTATTTTCATTTAACTTGAAAATTTAGAGGATACAATATCGATAGTTTAGCAATTTCATGAGCTGCAGAATTCCCTTCCCTCAAAATATGGTAAATATGAAGAAACTCTTCAAAAGTAGTAGCTAGCTGTTTAATGTCGTTGATCAGATTTCCATAGCTTGTATATGAATCGTCTTCACCACGAATTGCTGCTACAATAATACTTGAATCACCCTCCAATGCAACTCGACGAAAATCATGATCGCGAGCAAACTCCAAGGCTTTCAAAGCTGCCATTGCCTCAGCTGTGACTGAATCAAAATATTGTTTACAACTAATAGAGTACCATCCAACACATCTTCCATCAAAATCTCTGGACAAACCACCCAAACCACATCCATTATCAAGAGCACAGAGAAGCATCAAAATTGATTTTCACGACACCCCCTAGGAGGTGCCTCCCACCGAATAGTTGATCTTCTACTAGAGTAAAGTGGACGTGGACTAAGAACCACCGAAGACAGGCCACGCATATCCGATATACATTTTTTCGCAAACAAAATAATATCCATAGCCGATTTATCCATGTCCTCAAAAAGTTTCTTATTTCTAGCGTTTCAAATCGCGCAACATATAACCACACAGTACTCAAACTGTGCACTATCTTGATGCTGTTTCATCCATAAAACCCATTCAATAACCGATTTATCCTTCGGCCAATGAATCAAATACGGTACCCCACTCAATGCCCAAACTTGTCTAGCGAAGGTGCAGAGAGCTAGGCAATGCAACACATCCTCATCGCCTACATTGCATAAATTACATGATCCTGACTCAATGATCTTACGTTTAATAAGATTTAATCGAGTAGGAAGGAGATTTTTACAACATCGCCACAATTTTTTTTTTAATTTTACTGGGAAATTTCAAAGTCCATAGCCATTTTCAAGAACCCGATAAATTCGACGAAGAGCTAGAAGCTAAGTTCGATCCATCTTTTTCTTTCTCCATCTGAACAACAATATAATAGGCACTAGGAACGGAAAACAATCCGTTTCAATTATAATGCCACATAAGTTTATCCTCGTTGATGGAACTTCCAAGCCGAATAGACAAATACAATTACTATCTTCTTTGATAAAGATTTGAGATAGTATATGCGGGTCCCACTGCCCGGTGACACTATCAATTAGGCTACTAACCATCATATCTCTTGGCCACTGACCCCGTGGAGTGAAAGGTTTGAAAGTACTGCCCCTCGGAAGCCATCTATCACCCCAAATCTGCACATTTTCTCCATTCCCGATTCTCCAACGAGTGCCTTTTTTGAGCAAGTCTATAGCACCACAAATACTCCTCCACGTGTACGACGGATTTGACCCAAGAGATGAATCAAGAATATTAGATAGTGGATAATACCTCGCCTTATAGATTCGACCCAACAATCTGTGAGGAGAGACCATTAGACGCCACACTTGTTTAACGAGTAGGGCTGTGTTGAAAACATTTAAATCTCGGAACCCCAGGCCCCCGAAATCCTTGCTGGAACACATATCTTGCCATTTAGCCCAATGAATTCCTTTGCCCTTTGTATTCACCCACCAAAACTTAGCCATATGCTTTTCCATCTCTTCAATAAAATATCGAGGTAGACGAAAGCAACTCATTGCATAAGTTGGAATTGCCTGAATCACCGCCTTAATAAGGATTTCTTTGCCGCCCCTTGAGAACCATTTTTCTGTCCACCCTCGAAGTCGTCGACAGACCTTATCACGAAGATTTGCAAAAGCTTCTCGTTTTGATTTACCCAAAGTAGAGGAAAGCCCCAAGTATCTGTCGTGATTGTCGACCACCTCCATAGGAAGTTCAGAACAAATTAAATTAATGTTTTCTTCAGTAGTCGTTTTGCTGAACACAATACTGGACTTCTGATAATTCACCATCTGCCCCGAAGCTTCTTCATAGACTCGTAAAATTTTCTTTACCCATGCAGCTGAGTAAATATTAGAATTACAAAAATTATCGTGTCGTCGGCAAAAAGCAAATGTGATATCGTCGGAGCTTCCTTGCATACTGCCAAGCCTGCTATATTGCCACAACACTCTTCTTATTTAATCAAAGCACTCAGAGCCTCCGCACAAAATAGAAATAGGTAAGGAGATATAGGATCGCCTTGACGTAAACCCCTCTCTGGCGCAAGAAAACCAAGAGAGCGCCCATTAAGAACAAAATAGTATGTAACTGTTGACACACATAGCATCACGAGATCTATAAAATTGCTATGAAAGCCCAACCTGGACATCACCCCACGCAAAAACGACCATTCAATACGGTCATAAGCTTTACTCATATCCAATTTAATGGCCATATGCTCCGCCGTACTCCGCTTCATGTAGTGGACAACTTCGTAAGCAATGAGAATATTGTGTGAGATCAACCTTGACGGGACAAAAGCAGATTCAGAATCCGAAATAATGAAATTCATGTGCGGTTTAAGGCGGTTCACAATCGCTTTGGAAGCAATTTTATACACCACGTTACTAAGGCTGATCGGTCTAAACTGAGTCATATTTCTTGGATTATCACATTTTGGAATAAGTACAATATGGGTGTAATTACCAGCTCTAGGAAGCTCTCTACGATTGAGAAGTGCTAATACCCATTTTGATACATCACTGCTCACCACACTCCAAAATCGTTGGAAGAAGACCACGGGAAATCCATCGGGACCTGGGGATTTTAGGGGTTACATACTAATTGTGCGAACGGAAAATGAAATTGAAGATTAGTTAATCTTCATATAATGATGTCAAATTACCCTGTGTGTGTTATGTAATATGTGTGTGGAACAAAGAGAGACAAGTAGAACTTTTTTTAATCTCTATGCACAGACTTTCCATTTTTTTTAACTCTGTGATGAGTGTGTAAATTAATTACCAGATTTTTAATAATTAGAATATTTTAAATTGTAGAATGAGAAGCGCATCGGCACATCGCCCTCTCATCCTAAGCAGCAAATCTTTTTCTTCTTCTTTTACTATGGCCGATCCCGATAATTTGCAATCGAACTATTTCGGCAACCGACAAAGTCGGTTGCCAATCGTTACCCAGCTCATAATTGTCAGGCCGTTAATGGTTTTACATTAATAGTTGGTTGGTCGGGTCGGGCCGATAACCGATATTCAACCGACCCGACCCATGAACAAGCCTAGTTGAAGTAGAATGAGCTGGAAGAGCAAAGTCGATCACTGACTCACGAGCTTGATGACCTTGAGATACATGCGATCAGAGAAAACGTAAACCAAGCCGGAAGTTGATACGGCGGAAACCCCTCCAACGCTCAAGTCAGGCTTGTGGATTGCAAGAGTTGTGGCAAGAAACTTAGGGAGTTGTATAGTTCAAATATATGAACGTACCTTAACAAATTAATTGTAATCTTTATTTATATCGAGTTGGTCTGGCTGAAGTTAATTGATTGTAATTGTCGGGACCAAAACTTATTTTTTAGGCAAGTGCGTGAACTGTGGAGCGCGTTGTAAGGTCTGGCGCGAGAGCCCACACGCAACACATAGCATAGGCGCGTGGCGGCCACGGGCGCAAAAGGGTTGGCGCATTGGGAGGCGCGCACAACGTCTCCATGCGCATTTTTTTGTTGTTGTTAGGGGGCGCGCGAACCGAGGCGTGCACGCGCTCCGAGGCTGGGCCGGCGGCGCGAAAGTGTATGTTCTTCAATTTGTCTTCACACTTGGAGTAGATGGGTATGCCCACTACTACTTCGTTTGATGTTTATATTGTTTGACTTTGTTGATGTTTTGATGTATTGCTCGTATGTGTTTACATTTTCCTTGTGCGTGATGTATTTGATGAGGGGATCAGTATCTCAAGATTTTTTTATGGGGATCGTGCCCCTTGTTAGACCTCATGAATCGTAAGTATTGTAGGACCGTGGCCACGTTTTAAATGTAGGACCCGATGAAAATAGATATAGAAATTTAGGTAAGCAAGCTGGCTAGGCTATATAGATCACAATAACATCTCAAGTGTTCCCAGGGTTGTAATAATATAAACTTGAATGGATAATTGTGTTATGAAACAGTAATAAAGCTGAGATTAAGAAAAACTTATTTTATTCGTTGATTGAAAGCTTGAACATTACAAGTCTGCTTGAGGCGGGGGGAAATATACATATAAGGACCGAATCGCTCGAAATAACATAATTCATACTAAGTAGAAATTGTAGGTGCTTCTTCCACATCGTTCTCGCGCTTGTAGCTGCGAGCAGGTTGGCTCCTCGTGGGAGTTGTCTCGCGGTGAAGGGCCTACGAGGGTGGAGGATAATCGCCCAATTAATGTAGAAAGGTGAGAGGATGCACCATCCATGGGGTGGGATAGCCCCCAGGTTAGGATGATGCGATCACTAACTTTGTTATGGGCTCGAAAGACTCTAGGTGTCATTGACATCATTGGCAGTCCTAGGACGTGGAATGAGATTGTCCATGAGATGTCGACAATTGTCGTCGGTCGTCTCGTTGTCAGGTGTCGAAATGATCTCATTTTTTTTTCCTCTTAGGAAGAATGAAGGCCGAAGCCTCTAAAATGTACACGTATTTCTCAGCACGACTTAATAACTCCTCCAGAGTGGTTGGAGGTTTTCCTGCGATAGATTCATTGAATCTACCTTTCTTTAAGTTTTTTGTTGAATGATTCCAGAGAGCATGCCTCCTCCCATGTTAGGAACTTCATGAGCTGCATCTACTAATTGTCGAATGTAGTTGCGAAAGGTTTCACCCTCTCTCTGTGCGATAATGAAGAGGTACACGGGAGTCTTAACGTACTTTTTGTTGATAGCAAACTAGTTAGTGAAGCGATCCGGCAGTTGCGAGAGAGCTTCAATTGACCCATTGGGCAAGGAGTTGAACCAACTCAGGGCTCGTTTGGGGAGCGTTGCCCAGAACATTTTTCTTGGAGGTGGTTGTACCACGGGTGGAGCCGCAGGAGGAGTGTTGGCTCTCGCTGTGGCAATGTATTGTGCCACTACTTCACTGGCAGCACGAGCAGAGGTTTCCGAGTCATACGTCAAAGGGCCTCCTCGGTTATCTGAACCATTCGAGGAGTGAGAAGAACTGGATCCTATTGAGGATCCAGTAGAAAATCATGAGGAGGGTCTCATGGTGGATCCCGATAACGAAGAGGACGAAGTGGTAAACCAGAGCATCCACGAGGTAGGAGGTTGTTAGCAATGTCACGTTCTCCTCGAGCTGATGTCTCAAGGTCATCCTGCGCACGTTGAGGGACCTCCTCGGTTATCTGAACCATTTGAGCAACATGAAGAAGTGGATCCTGTTGAGTTCCAGTGGGGGCTCCCGATGAGTGACTTGTGTTGGATCCCCAATACGAGGAGAGAGAAGCGGTAAACTAGAGCCTCGCCGAGGTGGGAGGTTATTAGCAGTGCCATGCTCCTTCCGAGTGGGGCTGGCGCGCGAGTGGAGGGTTGCCCCTGGGAAGGTGCGGGTGAATGCATCGACGCGGGGAATGAGGAGCGCGTTGTAAGGTCTGGAGTGTGAGCCTACGTGCGACACATGGCATAGGCGCGTGGTGGCCACGCAGGCGGCATGGTGAAAATTGCTTGCTGTTTTTTTTCGCCCGTCGCTGAACGTTGACAATAATCGTAATGTCTTTTGACAGTTACTGTACTGTCAACTGACATTAATTGTACTGTCCCTGACAGTTCCAGTCGTTGGTGATGTGCACAACGATGCTGCAGCACCTGAAGCAGCTGACCCAAATCTAGCCATCATCGTTCATCCTGTCAACCTTGAAGCTATGCCAATCAGCTTTATTGAGCTCGGCGACGAGCTGAATCCGATTGACCCAGAAAACTTCCAGAACCTGGGTCCCTCTTCCACTGCAGGAAGGTTCCCTACTCGCCGGTCCAAGCGCATGAATCCCTTCCCAGATCTGAATGCTACTGGGTCACAACGCCGGAGGGGAGGAAATTCTCCCAACAGAGGCGGCAGAGGTGGAAGAAGAGGCGGCAGAGGTGGCCGTACTCCAGTTAGGCCAAACCCACCAAGAGGTCTTCATTTGGTTGATGAAGAAACAGATGATGAAGAAGGAGATCCTACCTTTGCAGAACCAGAAGCCCGAGCTCACTTCTCAAGCTCCACTGAGTCATCCTCCAACGACTCAACTCCACCAGCATCAACTCAGGGGGAGACATTTCAGCCCAACATGGCAGCAGCCTCTTCTCAACATCCTGCTTCTGAAGATGTTGCTGCACATGTTCCTGAAAATGCTGCTGCACCTACTGTCTCATACAATGCCCCTCAGAGTGCTGCTGAGGATGCTGCTCCCTACCAAGATGAGGAAATGCCAGACTTTTCTGGGATGTCCTCTGCTGAGCATGTATATATTCCCACTGTTGATGCCCAGGACTTTACTACCACTGAAGAAACACCCTCAACTCCACATGAAGATCCTCTGGAAACTCTGGTAGAGGCAGTTGTTCAAGTGGATGCACCACCTTCCCAGGTTAAAGAGGAAGAGAAAAGTGATGACAGCTGGGAAGTGCCCCTTGCCTCTTTCCGCAAGAATTTGCCATCCTCAGAGTCAGACAGTGACTCTTCTGAGGACTCATCTCAGATGGAAGAAGATGATGCTCCACCTGTTGCATCACCTGAGCCAGCATACATCCTAGATGAACTTGAAGACTCAGAAGAATAGGAACCCTCAGAGGATGAAGAGCTAGACTTGGATGGGAAGGATCTGTCAACTCCTTTTGAGGTAAACAATGCTTTCAGTCCTACCTTTTATTTTGAATCTGATTCAAACATGGGTCCTCAAATCATGAATTGCAAATTCATTGAGGAAAAGAAAATTTCCAAGGATGAGTTTGATAGGCATAGGATCACTGTTTTTCTTGATCAAAGAAAAATCCTTAGTCTAGTTGAGATTGCATGTCCTTATGATCCCTCTGTTGTGAAGGAATTTTATGCCAATTTACAAACCTCATTTTTAAAGAAATATTCTCCAAACATTGGAAAAGTTTTTGTGCTAAATTCTATTTTCTTCTTTTCTCCCAAAATTATCAACTCTCACTTACAAACTCCTACTGTGATTGACGAGGATAATTATGGTGATTTTACTGAGGTTTTTAAGACTCTTTCTGGCAATCGTCTAAAATCTTGGCCTGCTCACCCCAAAAAATTCAAAGTTTCTCAACTTACTGCATTTTACTCTGTCTTGTTCAGACTCACAGTGATGAATTGGATTCCATCTAAAAATGTATCTGTGATTACTAAACCTCATGCAGTACTCATGTACAAATTGGGGGTGGGGTTACCTGTTGATTTTGGCAAACTTGTTTTCAACAATATAGGTCATATTGCCCAGAAAATTTCTTTCTCCACTCATCTTCCCTATCCTTCTCTCATCTACTCCATTCTGCTTTCTCAAAATTTGGGCCAAGATGAATCGGAATATCTTCATGATAACTGTTTCTCAAAATTTTCTAAAAGCTCCTCATGTATGTCCAAGATCTTCCCTGGAATGGAGATAATTTTCTCCCACCTGAATCATGTCAAAATAATCTTGGTACTGAAGGTGTTTCTCCTCATGTTGACAACACCCCTGACATCATTGTTTCTGTTCCTCGAGATCTTTTTTTAAAACAGCTTACTCACTCCCTAGCTCAAATCACCTATCATCAGTCCATTGTGGAAATGCTTCAGAGAGCTCTTTCTGATCAAAAAGGGGGAGAACAAGCTGGTCATGAAGTTGAAGCAGGGACTTCTCATCCTTTGGATGCCAGAGGCAGAGAGCATGGAGTTAATGAAGAAGAAGAAAAGAATGAGGGTAAAGCTGAAGGAGCAGAGGAAAGCAGTGGGTCCAGTGCTAGTGATGGAGGAATTGCTGCTGATACATAGGAGACTTGGGATATTGTGCTTTAAAGTTATTTTTATGAACAATATTTGTTTTTGTTCAGTTTTTTATTTTCCCTCTCAACTTTTATGCTAGGATTGCGCTATTTTGTTATTTTCTTTATTGGTTATCATATTCAGGGGAGTTCAAGCAATGACGTAGGGGGAGTTAAGCTAAAATTTAGTTTTGATCAGAAAGTTAAAAAGGGGGAGTTTGAAACACTTGGATTTTCACGAGTGTTTTTAACTCTGTTAATTTCAAACTAAATTTTAGTTATGGTTAAGTGCTTAGTGGGCTAAGTAGTGCTTAGTGGGTTAAGTATAATGCTTAGTGGGTTAAGTATAGTACTTAGTAGGCTTGGTGGGTTAAATTGAGGATATTATCTTAACTACTAAACTAACCCACTAACCCATGTTCTTGAGTGCTCTTGTAATTGGTTTTCTTGCAGATCATGGGCTGAGGACTGGAAGCTTGGAATGTCTGTAAATACCGACTTCAAGACTCAAGGAAATTTATGGATTCTAAGAAATAAAAACCGAGAGCTGAAAAGAATACATGAGATTTTTAGTGTGTTTTTAGAATCTGTTTTACGTACTCCTCATGAGTACATTCTTTACGTACTCCTCATGAGTACATTCTTTACGTACTCCTCATGAGTACATCCTTTGTAGTCTAGATTGTTTAGTATATAGTTTTTATGTTTCTAGACTTGGTTGTAAGAATGATCAAGATAGAGATTCATTCATAAGAAAGAAGTTCTTTACGTACTCCTCACGAGTACATTCTTTGAAATCTAGAATTTTTAGTATTTATCTTTTTGTTTCTAGATTTGATTGTAAGAATGATCAAGTTAGTGATTCATTCATAAGGAAGAATTTTTTGTACTTCTTCTCTTTGTATTCTTGTAATACTGTTTTAATATAAGTTTTGCGTCCTTTGAAGGGCAAGTTCACAAGTTTTACTTGTGAACATTTTTAGATCTGAGTATTGTTTTTATATTTCCACTGCATGTTTATCCAAGTGTCATAACACTTAAGATAACACCTCTGTATTAAACGAATTCGGGACCATAAATTCTTTCAATTGGCATCAAGAGCCAACACTTGACGTATACTAAGTGTTTGTTCCTATTTCTTTTTCAGAAACGAATTCGTGATGGATACTCAGATGACTGCTTCTATGCGACCTCATGTACTTGATGGCACAAACTACACATACTGGAAAGTCAAGATGATGGCGTACATCAAAGCCAATGATGAGAGAGCCTGGAGATCTATTATTACTGAATGGAAGCCACTAACTATAACAGATGCGGATGGGTATGTATTTCCAACACGAGAATTACGGTGGACAACAGACAATCTATCAAATGCTAATCAAAACTCAAAGGCGTTACATGCAATCTTTAATTCAGTAGATTTAACAATGTTTAAATTGATCTCAGTGTGCACTTCTGCGAAGGATGCTTGGAAGGTTCTTCAGCTAGATTGTGAAGGATGAGACAGTGTCAGAAGAACTAAGCTCAGATTAGTGTCTTCCAAATTTGAGAGACTGAGAATGGAAGAAACTGAAACAATTTCTCAATACAATGAGAAATTGGTTGATTTAGCTAATGAATTTCAATCCCTAGGTGGTCCTTTGAGCAATGAGACATTGGTGAATAAGGTATTGAGAACTCTTCCAGAAAGATTTAGCATGACAGTTACTGCTATTGAGGAGGCCAGAGACACGTCATCTCTACGGCTGGATGACTTAATTGGTAGCCTAAAGTCTAGAGAGATGAACTTTGAAGATCAAAGAAAGGAGAAAGGTAAGGCTATCTCAAATGCACTCCGTGCAGAATTAGAGAAGGGAGAAGTTGTTCCGGAGTATGATGATGATGCAGAGGAATGTCTCAACAATGTGGCATTTCAGATTCAGAAATTCAATAGGGCATACACACGAAGTGGAATCAAGCCCAGACAGTTGTTTCCAGATGGCTCTCCACAAAATCGACAAACTCAGCCCCGAAACAGATCTATTCCACAGAGAACATTTCCTCAAACATCTTCTCAAAACACTTTAAAAAATTCTCCATTTATTCGTTCAAATTCTGAACCACCTAACTTGGATCATATTAAATGCAGGGCCTGTTCAGGATTTGGACATTATACTAATGAATGTGCAAATACCTTGAGAAGAAGAGGAATGTGTCTGATTTGTGTTGCCAGTGATGAGGAGGAAGAGCAACCTGAACAGACAGAGGAGCTGCAACCCACTAAACAGGCTCTTTCTGTTAGATATATCACTGAAAAATCTACTGAAACAGAATCACAATGAGTTTCTCTAGATGTTGCAACACTTTCCGAAACACTTTCAGTAACTGAAATTTCTGAGTTAGATAATAGTCATTATACATGTTTGAACTCTATTTCTTTGAATGCTACAGAATACAGTAAAGAAGCAGTAGGAGATGAGGAAGAAATGTACAAGAAATTGCTTAGCGACTTGGAGAAGAAGACTCATACTCTAGATGCAGCCAACAAGGAAAATTCTTCTCTCAAAGAAACAATCACTCATTTGGAGGTTGGTATCACCAAGAAGGATCTTGAACTGGCAAAGGTGAAAGATGAACTCAAAGAAGCAACTCTAGCAATCAAGAGGATGAATACCGGCACAACTAAACTCGAAGAGATTGTGTCACTGGAGAAGTACAGCAAAAATGAAGGTATAGGGTTCAAAAAACAAGTGAAGAAACACAAGCTAGTAAAGAAGAAGGAGGTTGTCTTTGTAAAAGAGAAGGGTTCAAATGGAAAGAATGCAGAAATACCACAGTCACCACTCCAGAATCTAGAATAAGGAGATACATTTGTCATTACTGTTTCGTACAAGGACATATCCGTCCATTTTGTGAGAAACTAAGTAGTGACAAAATGTTGTACAGGATGAGTCACATCACTCCAGGGAATACCTCCAAGAAAAATGTAGAATTTACCAAAAAAGAGTGTAGAATATGGACTCCCAAAGGTAAACTTATGTGCAAGGCAGTATACACTTCTTTAAATGCTAACATTTCAGGTTCATGGTACTTTGATAGCAGATGCTCTAGGCATATGACTGGAACTAAAGAGTTTCTATCAAACTACCATACACTCAATGGTGGACGTGTAACCTATGGAGGAGGAGCTAAAGGCAAAGTGGTTGGACGTGGAACACTCAGTATTGAGGGACTTCCAAAACTTTCAAATGTCTTACATGTTGAAGGATTGGGGTCAAATCTCATCAGTATTAGTCAATTGTGTGATGATGATCTACGTGTTCAATTTGATAAATACTGTTGTTATGTGTTTGATAATCAAAATCATTGTGTATTGAAAGGTTCCAGGTCAATGGATAATTGTTATCAAACAGGTGACACCATCTCATGCAAGAGCTCAAGAGTAAGTGAAGTAGAGCTGCGGAACCAGAAACTAGGGCACACTAACTTCAAAAATCTGAAGCTGCTCAACAAGTACGATGCCATAAGAGGAATTCCTGATCTCAAGATCAAGGACATTCGTATATGCGGAATGTGCCATAAGGGAAAGCAAACTAGAGTACCACACAAAGTGTTACAACACGTTGGTACCACCATTTGTTTTGAACTTGTACATATGGATCTTATGGGTCCTATAGAGCTAGAAAGTCTAGGTGGTAAAAAATATGTATTTGTGTGTGTTGATGATTTTTCAAGATATACTTGGGTGTATTTTTTAAGAGAAAAATCTGATACTTTTGAAGTTTTCAGAAATTTGTACAGGTTTGTTAGAACTCAATTTCAAGTTTCTATTCGTAGAATAAGGTCTGGTCTCCGCAATAAAACAGCTGAAGATGAAGTTGATGACCTGATTGCTGAAGGAGAAACAACCGGAGGAGACACTACTGACATAGAGGCTCCAGATATAAACAGTCCACTATCAAGAGAAGAGGGTGTTGAGCCAAGTGTTACCACATCTGACTCAATACTTCCTACGGAGAGCCCAGAAGCTGAAATGCAGCCAACTCATCATGTCTGCAGATACGAACCATCAAGTAGAATCCAGAAAAATCACCCCTCTACTCAAGTTGTGGGAGATATCTCTGAATGTGCAGTAACTGGAACAACTTGCTTTGTATCTTCAGTCGAACCAAGGAATATTGCAGAAGCACTGAAGGATGAATTCTGGATCAATGCAATGCATGAAGAACTGAATCAGTTCATCAGGAATGATGTTTGGTACTTAGTTCCCAGACCAAGTTATGTAAATGTGATAGGAACTAAGTGGATTTTCAAAAACAAAACTGATGAAAAAGGTACAGTGGTTAGAAATAAGGCTAGGTTAGTAGCGCAAGGATACACTCAGATAGAAGGTATAGATTTTGATGAGACCTTTGCTCCAGTAGCCAGAATTGAATCTATTAGGTTACTTCTTGCTATAGCATGTTTTCTTAAAATCAAATTGTATCAAAAGTGCATTTCTAAATGGTGTTTTAAATGAAGAAACATATGTACAGCAGCCCAAGGGTTTTGAAGACTCTGCCAAGCCTAACCATGTGTTCAAGCTTAAGAAGGCTTTGTATGGTCTTAAACAAGCTCCTAGAGCTTGGTATCAAAGACTCACTGACTTCTTACTTGAAATACAATTTACTAGAGGAGAGGCAGACAGAACTCTATTTGTTAGAAGAACAAATAACCATATCATTATTGTACAGATATATGTTGATGATATTGTTTTTGGTTCTACTTGTGCTAACCTTTTACAGTCTTTTGTAGATTCTATGTCTCACACTTTTGAAATGAGCATGGTAGGAGAGTTGAATTACTTCCTAGGACTCCAAATCAAACAGACAGGTGAAGGAATTTTTGTAAATCAAAAGAAGTATGCTCTCAATCTGGTCAAAAGGTTTGAGCTGGAGTCAGCCAAGCACATGAAAACTCCAATGGGATCAAGTCAAAAACTGTCCAAGGACGATGTTGCTGAAGATGTTGACAGCACCCTATACAGAAGCATGATTGGAAGCCTTCTGTATCTAACTGCAAGCAGACCTGATATTATGTTTAGTGTTTGTGTGTGTGCCAGGTATCAAGCTAATCCCAAAGTCATTCATCTTAAAGCTGTGAAGAGGATTATTAGGTATGGTGCAGGTACAGTAGATTTAGGTATTCAGTTTTTCAAAGACACTAATACTAATTTGATAGGCTTTAGTGATTCTGATTGGGCTGGGGATATTAGTGACAGAAAAAGCACATCAAGTGCATGTTTCTTTTTGGGGAATAACCTGGTTTCATGGTTTAGTAGAAAACAAAATTGTGTATCACTTTCAACAGCTGAATCAGAATATGTAGCTGCTGGAGGATGCTGTGGTCAACTAATTTGGATGAAACAAATGTTGGAGGATTATGGGTTAACCAGTGACACCTTGACCATATATTGTGATAATTCAAGTGCTATTGATATTTCAAAAAATCCTGTTCAACACTCATGAACTAAACACATAGATATTAAACATCATTTTGTTCGTGATATAGTTGAGAAAAATATAGTGTGCTTAAAGTACATTCCTACAGAAGATCAGCTGGCTGACATCTTTACAAAGGCATTAGATTATGAGAGGTTCTCTAAACTTAGAAAATCTCTCGGGATGTGTACTCAATAAACATGTCCTGAAATATGTTGCAGCACCTCATCAAACATCTTAAGCTGCAACATAATTTACTGAAGCTTAGCTTCTTTAAATAATGGCTTCACTGTGATATATTATTCTCTAAATAAGTAACTGGAAGTCTTTCACCTTGAAATGTGATCATGCTTCATGTAAACATTCAGAGAACAATTATAATCACATAAGTCAAACTCCTCTATCTGAATAGTCATATCTTAGCAACTGAGGAACTTTCAAACTGAACACTTGATCATGTTCTATGTGAATTGTTTGACTTGAAAATAAGAGTTTAAAATATATATATATATATATATATATATATATATATATATATATATATATATATATATATATATATATATATATATATATATATATATATATATATATATATATGCCTGTTAGCCTTTTTTTTCACACTATTAATCATTAGAAGAAGTGTTTATTATTAAAGTGTAAATTTCGTGAGTGTTATTATTTTTATTACTATTATTATCATTTTTATTGAATTATCATTATTTATATGGGTCATGGGGTACATGGGTTAGTCTTTTATTTTCCATTAAGTCCACTCCTTACTGTGCCATGTGTCACGTTTTGTCTTAAACTGCCAAATAAACCTTCATTCTCCTTAATCACACTTTCTCCAAGAAAAACGCACACCACTTCTTCACCTTCTCCACTTCAATCTATTTTCTGCAAAAATTAGGGCTTATAAATTTCGTGCTTCTTTTTCGAAAATTAACCCTCAAAAATCAAAAGCACTAGAAGCAATTCTTCTTTCTCTCTACTGTATCATGGCATCACATTCTAGAAATCCTCTTCCAGTCGTTGGTGATGTGCACAACGATGCTGCAGCACCTGAAGCAGCTGACCCAAATCTAGCCATCATCGTTCATCCTGTCAACCTTGAAGCTATGCCAATCAACTTTATTGAGCTCGGCGACGAGCTGAATCCGATTGACCCAGAAAACTTCCAGAACCTGGGTCCCTCTTCCACTGCAGGAAGGTTCCCTACTCGCCGGTCCAAGCGCATGAATCCCTTCCCAGATCTGAATGCTACTGGGTCACAACGCCGGAGGGGAGGAAATTCTCCCAACAGAGGCGGCAGAGGTGGAAGAAGAGGCGGCAGAGGTGGCCGTACTCCAGTTAGGCCAAACCCACCAAGAGGTCTTCATTTGGTTGATGAAGAAACAGATGATGAAGAAGGAGATCCTACCTTTGCAGAACCAGAAGCCCGAGCTCACTTCTCAAGCTCCACTGAGTCATCCTCCAACGACTCAACTCCACCAGCATCAACTCAGGGGGAGACATTTCAGCCCAACATGGCAGCAGCCTCTTCTCAACATCCTGCTTCTGAAGATGTTGCTGCACATGTTCCTGAAAATGCTGCTGCACCTACTGTCTCATACAATGCCGCCTCTTTCCGCAAGAATTTGCCATCCTCAGAGTCAGACAGTGACTCTTCTGAGGACTCATCTCAGATGGAAGAAGATGATGCTCCACCTGTTGCATCACCTGAGCCAGCATACATCCTAGATGAACTTGAAGACTCAGAAGAATAGGAACCCTCAGAGGATGAAGAGCTAGACTTGGATGGGAAGGATCTGTCAACTCCTTTTGAGGTAAACAATGCTTTCAGTCCTACCTTTTATTTTGAATCTGATTCAAACATGGGTCCTCAAATCATGAATTGCAAATTCATTGAGGAAAAGAAAATTTCCAAGGATGAGTTTGATAGGCATAGGATCACTGTTTTTCTTGATCAAAGAAAAATCCTTAGTCTAGTTGAGATTGCATGTCCTTATGATCCCTCTGTTGTGAAGGAATTTTATGCCAATTTACAAACCTCATTTTTAAAGAAATATTCTCCAAACATTGGAAAAGTTTTTGTGCTAAATTCTATTTTCTCCTTTTCTCCCAAAATTATCAACTCTCACTTACAAACTCCTACTGTGATTGACGAGGATAATTATGGTGATTTTACTGAGGTTTTTAAGACTCTTTCTGGCAATCGTCTAAAATCTTGGCCTGCTCACCCCAAAAAATTCAAAGTTTCTCAACTTACTGCATTTTACTCTGTCTTGTTCAGACTCACAGTGATGAATTGGATTCCATCAAAAAATGTATCTGTGATTACTAAACCTCATGCAGTACTCATGTACAAATTGGGGGTGGGGTTACCTGTTGATTTTGGCAAACTTGTTTTCAACAATATAGGTCATATTGCCCATAAAATTTCTTTCTCCACTCATCTTCCCTATCCTTCTCTCATCTACTCCATTCTGCTTTCTCAAAATTTGGGCCAAGATGAATCGGAATATCTTCATGATAACTGTTTCTCAAAATTTTCTAAAAGCTCCTCATGTATGTCCAAGATCTTCCCTGGAATGGAGATAATTTTCTCCCACCTGAATCATGTCAAAATAATCTTGGTACTGAAGGTGTTTCTCCTCATGTTGACAACACCCCTGACATCATTGTTTCTGTTCCTCGAGATCTTTTTTTAAAACAGCTTACTCACTCCCTAGCTCAAATCACCTATCATCAGTCCATTGTGGAAATGCTTCAGAGAGCTCTTTCTGATCAAAAAGGGGGAGAACAAGCTGGTCATGAAGTTGAAGCAGGGACTTCTCATCCTTTGGATGCCAGAGGCAGAGAGCATGGAGTTAATGAAGAAGAAGAAAAGAATGAGGGTGAAGCTGAAGGAGCAGAGGAAAGCAGTGGGTCCAGTGCTAGTGATGGAGGAATTGCTGCTGATACTGAGGAGACTTGGGATATTGTGCTTTAAAGTTATTTTTATGAACAATATTTGTTTTTGTTCAGTTTGTTATTTTCCCTCTCAACTTTTATGCTAGGATTGCGCTATTTTGTTATTTTCTTTATTGGTTATCATATTCAGGGGAGTTCAAGCAATGACTCAGGGGGAGTTAAGCTAAAATTTAGTTTTGATCAGAAAGTTAAAAAGGGGGAGTTTGAAACACTTGGATTTTCACGAGTGTTTTTAACTCTGTTAATTTCAAACTAAATTTTAGTTATGGTTAAGTGCTTAGTGGGCTAAGTAGTGCTTAGTGGGTTAAGTATAATGCTTAGTGGATTAAGTATAGTACTTAGTAGGCTTGGTGGGTTAAATTGAGGATATTATCTTAACTACTAAACTAACCCACTAACCCATGTTCTTGAGTGCTCTTGTAATTGGTTTTCTTGCAGATCATGGGCTGAGGACTGGAAGCTTGGAATGTCTGTAAATACCGACTTCAAGACTCAAGGAAATTTATGGATTCTAAGAAATAAAAACCGAGAGCTGAAAAGAATACATGAGATTTTTAGTGTGTTTTTAGAATCTGTTTTACGTACTCCTCATGAGTACATTCTTTACGTACTCCTCATGAGTACATTCTTTACGTACTCCTCATGAGTACATCATTTGTAGTCTAGATTGTTTAGCATATAGTTTTTATGTTTCTAGACTTGGTTGTAAGAATGATCAAGATAGTGATTCATTCATAAGAAAGAAGTTCTTTACGTACTCCTCGCGAGTACATTCTTTGAAATCTAGAATTTTTAGTATTTATCTTTTTGTTTCTAGATTTGATTGTAAGAATGATCAAGTTAGTGATTCATTCATAAGGAAGAATTTTTTGTACTTCTTCTCTTTGTATTCTTGTAATACTGTTTTAATATAAGTTTTGCGTCCTTTGAAGGGCAAGTTCACAAGTTTTACTTGTGAACATTTTTAGATCTGAGTATTGTTTTTATATTTCCACTGCATGTTTATCTAAGTGTCATAACACTTAAGATAACACATCTGTATGAAACGTATTCTAAGTGTTTGTTCCTATTTCTTTTTCAGAAACGAATTCGTGATGGATACTCAGATGACTGCTTCTATGCGACCTCATGTACTTGGTGGCACAAACTACACCTACTGGAAAGTCAAGATGAGGGCGTACATCAAAGCCATTGATGAGAGAGCCTAGAGATCTATTATTACTGGATGGAAACCACCAACTATAACAGATGCGGATGGGGATGTATTTCCAACACGAGAATTACGGTGGACAACAGACAATCTATCTAATGCTAATCAAAACTCAAAGGCGTTAAATGAAATCTTTAATTCAGTAGATTTAACAATGTTTAAATTGATCTCAGTGTGCACTTCTGCCAAGGATTCTTGGGAGGTTCTTCAGCTACATTGTGAAGGATCAGACAGTATCAGAAGAACTAAGCTCAGTCTATAAAACTTCGCAAAGAGATTCTTTTTCGTTTCAGTTTGCTACGATTTTGTATAAATCATCGCCAAAATTTTAATTAGAAGACAAACCCTAATTTTATTCCCCATCTTCTCTAACTCTTTTCTTCTTCGTTTCTCTCAATCTCTCTCTTTCAATCTCACAAAGCCCACCCTCCGTGTAATGGTATTAACCGTTTTTCATTTTTTTATTAAAATCCCTAAAACGACGTCGTAGCACTTATAGAAGCGTGCCCGACTATTCAAGCAAAACACGTCGTTTATTTTAAGTTTGAGTCATCAAAACGCTGTCGTTTTGATGACTGTGCTGAGAACTCACACTTTCTTCATGCTTCAAGACATCAGAGTGCTCCCCAAGGCTCCTCTGGAGTATTTCCATTTATAGGCCATCATTATCTGCATTTTTCTTTTATGCTTTTATGATATCACTTAAAGTAGGTAGAGTAGTGTAGTTGTGATGGAGTTTTTGTCCAGTTTGTATTGAATGTTTCTCACTTTTTCATCAATACATTTCTACCTATCTTGCAGAGTTTGTTTTTTATTCTTTACAAATTAGTAGATTCGTAACATTTGGTATCCAGAGCCTCACCTTCATGACCATAACACACCATTTTTTTGATGATGACAAGGAGCCATGTGCGTACAGCTGGAGGGGAAAGCACTAGATCTGAAGCAGAAATGTTTGTGGAGGAGCAACTTGCTTTCAATGACAAGATCCAAGGAGAATTATTTGTTCTTCAAGCTGAAATTGTAAGGAACAGAGTGGAAAGCCATCAAAGGATGGATGAGATGAATCGAATGATAGGAGAAATGATCAGATCTATGGGTGGAGATAGAGGCAAGGAATCACTGCAGCCAGGGAACACTTCTGACCACCCAAACAGAAATCCTGAGATCATTTCACCTAGGATGAGTCCTGCATATGAGGAGGCAGGTAATCCTAACACTTTTGTGAGGAATATGGAGATGAGAGACATTAGATTGGAATTTCCTAGGTTTGATGACAGCCTTCCTAGAACATGGTTAAGGAGATGCCATAGATATTTTGAGTTGAATCTAATGAATGAACAAGAGAAGGTGAAGTTGGCTTCTGTTTATCTTGAGGGTAAAGCTGAAGATTGGTACTCTGACTATATAGAGAAGATAGAGAGATTGGGATGGGAGGTGTTTGCTAATCTGATTTTGGAGAGGTTTATGGAGGAAGAGGGAGTGAGTCTGCTGGCAGAGTTCAATAAGCTTCACCAAATCACTTTTGTAGAGGAGTACAGGTTGAAGTTTGAGCATCTCAAGGTTTTTGTGTCTAGAAAGTATCCAACTCTACCAGAAGGATACTTTGTAGAGTGTTTTGTAGAGGGATTGAAAGGAGAAGTGAAAAACATGGTTAAAATGATGAGACCACTGTCCTTAGCCAATGCTACACAGCAAGCAAAGCTGCAAGAAGGATGTGTGGATCAGATGAAAGTGGAAATAAGAAATTCCATAAGAACATCCAACCAGCCATAGAGGCCTCTGAGAGGAGCAAATCCAGAGCAACCTTTGAGGATTCAGTATCTTGAAAAGAAACCCACAGAGACCAAAATACTTACAAGACCAGAAATGGAGGAAAGAAGGAGAAAAAAATTGTGTTACAACTGTGAAGAAAGATATGTGCCAGAGCATAAATGCAAAAGGCTGTTTAACATTGAGTGTGTTCCTGCACCAGAAGAGGAAGCACTAGATGAGGAAGGGAAAGTCAATGTAGAAGGATTGGAGGTGGAAGAAATAATGCAAATCTCATTCAATGCAATAGCAGGGCAAGTATCTCACACTACTTTGAAAGTACTTGGTAGATATAAGGGGAAGAATATCACCATACTCATTGATACTGGAGCTTCTCATAGCTTCTTAGATCCTCAGACAGCTACTACACTAAGCTGTGATAAAGTACAGGGAAACAGCAGCTGTTTTGTGACTCCATTTGTCCTAATTTTCAGTGGGAAATGGGGAATCGCCACTTTTACATTAGTGTTACACTCTTGGAGTTGAGGGGTGTGATCTTGTACTTGGGGTGGATTTTATGAAGAAGTTTGGGCCTGTAGTTTTTTACCACAATCAAAACTGCATCACATTGAGGCAAGGAGAGAGGGAGATTGTGCTAAAGATGAACCACAATTCTTCATGATTGATGAGAAGAAAATGCAAGGGCTATTAAACAACAAAAGCATTAACATGGGATGCTTGCTCATGCTGAATGGAAGAAAAGGCACCTCAGAAGGAGAAAAGGCACCAACAAAGATACAGAAGGTGATCAGCCAGTTTCCAGATCTGTTCCAAGATCCAATTGAGTTACCACCCCAGAGGAAAACTGAGCATGCTATTCCTTTGAAAGAAGATGCACACCCATTCAAGTCTCAACCTTATAGATACCCATATATGCAGAGGAAGGAAATTGAAGAAATGGTCAAGGAAATGCTGCAAGCTGGCATCATACAAGACAGCTGCAGTCCATTTGCATCACCAGTGCTTTTGGTCAAGAAGAAGGATGGCACTTGGAGGTTCTGTGTAGACTACAGAAGATTGAATGCCATGACCATCAAGGATGGTTATCCCATTCCTCT